TAAGTAAGTAAGTAAGTAAGTATAAGTAACTAAGCAAGTAAGTAAGGATGTAAGTAAGCAAGCAAGGAAGGAAGGAAGTAAGTAAGTACGTGCGTGTAAATGCATGCGCATGCATATTATTGACACATGTGTATGCATGTGGGCGCATACGTGCGCGTGTGTGCGTGCATAGTTGTACATAGTCCTATAGCATAATTACGTGTATGAGAGTGTGTTTGTAAGTGTGTGTGTGTGTGGCCCGGTTGTAAAGACGCAACTACCCCGATGAATACATGCTAAGGGGCCATACATGCACACGGGCACGTGCTTGCTAGATCTTTCTGGCATTCACCAGCCTGACAGTGATTACTTCGGATTGAGAGGTGCAGCACCGATGGAGGCTTCTGAAAGGGGCGGGGCTTTGAGGACATTGACATGAGCTAGATCAGTGGGCGCACTACATACGAAGCGGTACGGATTCAGGTCGCATCTTGTAGCTTGGCTTCAGGGTCTCTTCTCCGCAGAAAGCAGAGCCTGAACTGAACTCCGAAACCGCCGAAGCCCTAGACTCCCTAGGCCCCAAGTCCCATTGAAGCCTCCAGCCATCCGAGGCCGGCCTTCGAGGCGCCTTCGGAGCAGGGGAGGCCTTTGATCGCTGCCCTGCAGTCCTTACATTGGTGCTGACAAACACCCCTCATCCCGACAGGCCCAGTTCAGACCCAAGTCTCGGAGTCTCGGAACTCTACAGGTGCTACTAGTCCTAATCCCGCAACACCCCTCACCCCCGAAACTCTGAACCTCAAAAAGCTGCGAAGCCATTTCGCAACAGGCTTGATCAGCTCTCGGCTTCGGGTGGGGAATTTGGGTATTTTTCTTCGCTTCCACAGGACATGCTTTGATCTCCAAGAAGGGTCCGCAGCACCGAGCTCCAAGTCCCGGAAAAGAGACTGAGATCTTGGGGTTGTAGAGGCAAGATCGCCGTGCATGAACGAGAGCGTGTTCCGCAGCCGAAGGTGTCACTTCAGACTTACGGTGAGCGTTTCAGGTTGCTTCACACGCATCCCATTTCGAACGGCCGCAAGTGACCAGATAAATGCCGGCATAGATCGGAAGCTCTTTAAATCTGCCATGCCTGGTGCACCACTGCAGTCGTCTCGCTCGCGGCGTCGTGAGAGACATGCGCGAGAAAATAAGTGGTGGGTGTCAACCGTCCAGGCCACATGACCCCCTTCAGGCTGCAATCCCTCCGTGTCAAACCCTCCAGCCGTACTGGTACAATGGAAGATCCGCTCCAATCCGCGGAACATGGAACCCGACAGCCCTGGGGGGTTGAAGTTTGCGCAGCGTGTGGCCTTGTGGAGGCGCCTGCCGGCGAATGCCTGGAGGAGGAGGCCATCAGAGTCTCGGGAAACTTTGCGGGGCCGTAGTGTACACACTTTAAACCGAGCAGCCTTGAACGCAAAAGGCCACCTAGGCCGGTTGGCCAGGAGTCCTTATTAGAGTCTCTATAGAGTCTCTAGGTGTCGGTTGCCACTCTTGCGGGAATGGGTATTCCATCCTTCCCCAGCCCAAGCCCGCCTCTCTGGCCATGGCAAGTCTTTTGTAAGGTACGGCATGCAGTCTAGACCCTCAACCCTAGTCTTCCAGGCTGACCCCAAATCCCAAACCCCTAATCTCACGAAAAGCCCCGGGTTCCTTACCTTTGAAACACTTTGACCTTGCACCAGGAGTATGAGGAAGAGGAGGAGGAGTGCCTTGGCAGCAGATTTCCATTGACGACACTGGGTTGGCAAGCGCACTGACTTAGACTTTCGAGTGCTCTGTGGGCTTGTGTGAGGAGTGCAGGTTAGCTACGGACGAAGTTCGCAGGAGAATTTCTGGTTTTATACACACACACACACGCACATGTGTGTGTAAGTGTGCATGTGTGTGCCTGCCGTTTATCGTAGTGCCGATGGTACACTGCCTCAGCCAAACACTTTGGATTCCTTTGTGTTGAGCGCCACACAGCTGGCGTCTAGGGCCAGCCTTCCGGTTCTGTTCGCGTGAAGAGGATGGCTCAAGTTATTCCAGAAGTTGTTTTTGGAATGCGGGGCCGCGGAGATCCCGTGCCAATCACCTGCAGTGCTCCCAACTCTCGGCATCCGAGAAATTCCTCAGCCCGCGTGGCCTTAAGGTAAGATTAAGTCGATTAAGTGCTCTTTGCATGTCAGAAGTCTACGGAAGGCAATTGCTCAGAATCTTGTCGCCTCGACTTGTGAATCCCTGGAATCCCTGCTCCCTTAAAGCCCAGATGGGTGAACATGTATCGCAGACAAGGTACGATCCTTTCGCTGCTTCAGGCGGAGCTGCAGAGTGACTTGGGTGCCAGGCAGGGTGGTGAGCTCTGAGGTCCTAGTTTCTAAGGTTGTCTTCATATTCAAAATAGTCGTTCTCTTTGTTTTGCTTGTGGTGATGCATAGCTGTTGGATTTGTTTAGCAGCTTGTACCACTGCAGCTACCGGCATTTCTTGATATTGTTTGTGCGGCGACTCTTGTCCTTAGGTCTCGGCCCCAGCTCAGCTTGCTGTTGCTCCCATTAAGTTTCGCAGCCTGCGATGCGCAATCTCACAGCCATGCGTTTCTCTGCCCCTCCACGTGGGAGACCGGGTGCGTCGAGCTGCTCCTTGCAGGATGCCTTTCAGCGACGAAGCAAAAAAGGGTCGGCACATGACAATGTTGTACAGTTTTCTTCCAGACGGGCGAGATCTTCGACCTCGTTTCTATAGGCTCCCGACCTCGCAGATCGGGGCATGGCTGCGTTCCACAAGCGCAGGTGTTCGGGATGCGCTCAAGCATGAAGCAGTTTTGACACTGTACTGGCAACTGACTGGAGCTGGACACGGCATGTCGTTTGTGGCAGCGCTGGATTCGGCACAGCAGGCATGGCGGTACGTGGCGCTGTTCTGACCTCGGTGTTGTATAGTCGCGGCTCTTGTATGTTTACTGCGGAGCGGTTTGTTGAGGGATGTGAGGATCTCCTGCCAACATGCAAGATATCTCCGCAACAAAATCATTTTTATCGTTATTCTCACAGGACGGTGGATCGAGATTGCATAGGGCCGCCCAAAAGCGGTTCAGGTCGTTGCGGCCGTTCCAGTGACCGAAGCACCAGAATGCACACTGGCTCATTTTGGGTGTTTGAGGTGGGCTCACGCCGCCCTTTTGCTTGGTGAAGAGGAAAATTCTCGACGTGAAGAGGTGCTACAGGGAATTGGGGACGCAACTTAGATGTACATATGGTTGATGTCCCTGCGATGTCTGCCCTTTTCAGGAAGAGTCATCCCATTACAGCGAGGAATACGAGCAGGACGGTGCCCAGTGCATGGTTCTGGACCGAAAGCCGGGGTGTACTGAGTACAGGAATTCCCATCACACGTGCCCATGAATGGAGCATTGTACTCCAGCCAGCAGGAGGACGGCACAGAGAGTGAGGAGAATGCTAGCACGGACAGCCAAAGCAAAGCTGGTAGTGCGACCTTATCTTCACAATCAAGCCATCAAAAAAGTACCCGCTCGCAGGGACGAGTTTCTTCGGTTGGGGCAGTGGAGCTTCTTCGTGTTCTTCAGACTACGACTCTGACGCACTAAAGTTTCATGCGATCGAAGCCTTCGGGGCTGGTACTCGTTCAGTCATATTGTAGTATGGCCGAATGCTATCGAATGCCCACAACGGCGAGATCTGAGAGTCCAGCGAAAGAAGGTGACCCGTTGTATTTTGGAGTCCTGTGTGTTCGAGCTAGAGGGTGTCCTAGTTCTTGCGCTGGAGATTTCAAGGTATAGTTATGGTACATTCGATGCGACACAGGCGCCAGGCAGTGCTTTAAGAGAGTTTCCGATCGGTTCCTTTTGCGGTGTGCATCTGACGCTACTTTCTCGGATTACCTCGGTGATAGGGAGCATTACATTCCTCAGCTGCCGTGATGTAGATATGTCGGACCGACCGTGCACATACATAGGGTTTCCATCAATGGCAGGAGGACTGGTTCCCTGCACCACTTTCGCCTGCACATTGCTTGTGGCTTGTCATGACTTGAAGAATTCGTCGCGGGCCTTGTTTGCACACGTTTCGCTGCCACAGTGCTCCAAGCCGCTTAGCGCCTCGCGCGCTTTGCCGGCCATGGCTCCCTGGCTGAGGAGTTCAAAGGGGCTGTTGCAAGATCTTGTGTTGTCGGTAGCTGCGCCCAAGCGAGACGCATCTGCACGGACTTTCAAGCGCAATAATGATCGTTGAGCGCGGCCGGAAGTAGTGTATTTATTCGATGCTTCTGCCCAGGTGCGTCGATTGGTGGCTATTGCCTTGGCTTTGCTTGCTGGGCCCTCGACAAGACTGTGTTGGACTCTGTCAGGGGAGTTCGCAGACTCATGGACTCTGAATTCTGTCCCGGCTTTTTCCTGCAGTTCGGCCATCATCCGGCAGGCCTTGCCGGTAAGCCTTGCGCTCGAGGATGAGGATGAGGTGCTGCAATGCGTGCTGTGCTGTCTGTCCAGTGCTTGGTTCATTTCGTCGCAGAGTTTTCGTGAAGATCCTGAAGTGCAGCGGGCCGGCATTGCACACGAACCAGCACGCACAGCACGCGCAGCACGCACCAACTTTCAGAGCCTCCAACTCCCCTTTGTGCCATGCCATGGGCCATGGCCGATGGCCGCCAGCCGAACGGTGACAGGTCTGGCAAAAAGCAGTTTGCTCGTGCCGTGATAGCCGCGTTATGCCGCGTTTCTCTGCAGGGTGGGCATGCAGTCTCTACAAACTAGCGGCCACGACTGCAACTGGTACAGGTTGTGAGTGCATTTCATGTAGGGAAGCCGGGATCATCCGGGATCTGTGCCACCACTTGGTAAACTTTTTCGTGCAGTCTCAGAATTGACCATTTGACATTGGTTCCTCTCGCTACTCTTCAGGAGGAGATCCAGCATTGTGCTTTGAAGCCCGACTGTCGAAAACTTGGCAAGACAGTTGCGCACATCGCCTGGGTGAAGCGATGGGAAACTTGGCTTGCGATGTGAGCTGCGAGTCACCGAGCGTTGGCAATGTTTGTTCTCCGCTCCCTAGGAAGCTGCCAGCGTATTGCTTGGCGACGCCTGGGCAGGAAATGCACAGATCGATGTGGTGACGCTCAGTCAGGCTCAGTCTTATGTGTTTGTTGTTGCCTTTCGGGGCTGAAGCCTTTGCTGTCTCTGGGTGTCTTCAAGGACACTGGGCGCTGCAGCGTCTGCATGCAGGGTAGCCGCTGGCTGGCGCCAGGGCTCCGAGACGCAGCCAAAGTTGGTGCAGGTTTCAACAGTTACGACGCACGGAAAACAGCGAAGAGAGGAGGTTGTTTGGCTTCTTATAGCAAACTTAGAGTGATCTTGACAGCTGGCATCGGAGTGTTAAGATCCGTCGAGGAACTGCTGGCGTCGGGCCGTGGTCGTACTATCCGCAGCGGTGCCGTGCTTCGGGGCACCTCGCTCGGGGTGGTCCGTGCAGGAGGTGGCGGGCTTCCAGCAGTTGTAGTTGTGTGGACTTCGGTGATCGAGACGTGGTTACAGTCCGATGATCCCAGTAAGGTAGTAAGATTCATTTTGCCGGTGAGGTGCATGGGCAGCCGCGCTCGCCTTGCTGACCGAGTCGCAGGAACCGCAATTAAGCCTGAACTTGCTTTACACTGTCTTGCAGCAGTGAAGAGGGTCGGTCAAGCAGTGCGGTGTTCGGCAAGAGGACCACGCATGCCGTGTCAGTGCCGTTCACGTGAGCACCGCGGCAGCTGCGGCATCAGAGGGAAGAATCTGGGGTGTGGCCGCAGCAATTCTGCAGGCCGGGATGGCCAGGGAGCGACATTGGGGTCTCTTGTGCTGGACCGGGAGCCATGAGTCGCATGGAGGCAGAGAGCGGCGTGGTGCTGGACCCGCCTGCAATCAGCTCACTAGTGGCTTCGCTGAGCAAGGGTAGCCAGTGGCAAGGCGGGGCCGTAGCCTCTTTCCGAGTGCACCTGGCCATTTGTAGCTCATCACAGCATGCTGGAAGCCCTTAGATCCAATCGCTGATGGAAGGATCGTTAGATGTGTTCGTGCGGCACATGGCGTTCCTGACGGTCCGCTTGGCAAATGCTGCGCTCACTGCCATGGAAGTGGGAGAGCTGCACCTCACCTGAAGAAGAAGCCGAGTGCCTCGTTGTCTCCCAGTGTTTGTCCGCTTCTTCTCGGAGGTGGCCGTCGGCCATGGCACTTCTGGAAGATTTGCAGCGAGCACGTCTTCGACAGGACATCAGAGGTGCACCCTGACCTGATAATCCCATGTCCCTCTCGACATATGCCACCGACGCCTGCAGGTGTGAACAGCGCGGCAAGTGCGGCTGCGCAAGGCGTGGGCTGGCGAACTTCGGCAAATGTGGAAGATGATCACTTGATGGGTCACAAGGGTTTTGCGATGCATTGGTCTCACAGGGTTCTTCTCGGAGTATGTAAAGTAATTGACAATTACCTTGAGCTGCTTGAAACTCTCAGCAAAGTTTCGTCAGAGTCGGGGAAAACCCCAGGCTCAGGCATCATGGGCTTGAAGCCCCACCCCCTCAGGGCCGAAGTAGCTAAACCCAATTGAAACTGAAGCTCGGTGCAATTGTGTTGACAGAGTCAGACGGTTTCTTCTTTGAAGTTAAATTGAAGAGGAGCCCTTCCCAAGGATGGTCGCTGGACTTGCTGGAGAGGCTTCGCGGCTTCGGGATTAGCTCAGCAGTGGCAAGGACCTGAAGAGAGTATCGGTATCTCCTCGTCCAGTGCTTGAGGTCAAGGCATGATGCCGAAGACCGCGATCTTGTCGGCGTCAACGTGGCCCTGGCAGCTCTCGCCCGCGGCTTGCACTGGGGTTGGAACCCGAGCTTCCTTGCTTTTGGCTGCATCTTTGGCATGACTGGTTCCAAAATGAGCTGAGGCTCGTCTTTGTCGGTGCTCCGGTCTCTTCCTGGTTTGCGACATGCGCACGACATTACCTCCTTCGGCACAGTGGCAAATGCCTGCAAGAGGGCAGGCGCGCTGATCAGCGCTGTGCAAGGGAAGAAGAAACATAGACCAGCCCCTGTAAGAGCACAAGCCGTTGCATCTGTCTTTGAACGTATGGCAAAGCGTGCGTTAGCCTCCAGGGTCGAACCTCCAGGGTCGAAATGACGCTTTCTTCTGGATCGCGGCAGACACTCGGGGGAAGCTGCAACCGGAAGTCGAAGCAGCTTGCGGTTCTAAGGGGCTCCTGATTTGTTCTGCAGTTTCACTCCGGGCCTGGTAGAAAGGCATCGCAGCAATCTCAATGCAAGTTGTGCGTCTTTAACTCTATGACTCTGTGGTATAAGCGAAGCTTCGAAAGCTGCAGCTCCAGGGCCTCCACCTAAAATATTACACTTTCAAGGCAATCGAGACCTAACTTCGCAACGAGGGTTTAACTCTTATCTTGTTGAGGAAATTCACAGCTTTTCGCGTGAAGATTGGGGTTAAGTAATCGGAGCCCGCCCTGGCAGACATCCAAACATCAACCGTTTCAGCATCCACTGCGTCCGCCTTGGGGTTAAGCACGTCGGGGCCCGGCCTGGCGTGCATCCAAACATCAGCCGTGTAGCGTCCACACCACCGGAACCCGCGGAATAGCCGGATTTTCTGGTTTCGCCACAGACTTCTTTGGAGTCTCGGTCACCGGGCCTATCGCACATTAATTGCTTCGGAGATCGTCAGTTGCAGCTTTGCAGGCGTGGTTGCAAGTGGAGAGATTGCTGTGACACTCCACCAGCGTTTTGCATAGAAGCCGCACGCGGAAAACACGTCTCTGACACAGCGGTTCCTTCGCACAAACAAGACTTGTTAGGGCTTTGTCTTGGGAGTCGTAACGGCGCGGCTCATTGGGCAAAGGCCTCCTCGAGCTGCTGCTGTTAAAACTTCGACCTTACACAGTATCCGGTCTCCTCATTTGGGTGATTTATCTGTGTACATGTGCAAGTCGTGTATGCGACATTCTGCGACATACGGATGATTTTGAAAGCATGCACTGCTGGTCCCATGCAACTTCCGAGCCGACCCCTTGTGCCACCGCGCAGACACTAGATATGGCAAGATGCATCACGTTAACTTCAGAAGCTACACGAAGAAGATGCAGTTCTGGTGGGCTCCAGAGGCGACACATACACGGGATGACTTGTACCGTTTATACTCCATACATCAGATACATTGCACATGTAAAGGAATGCAGCGAGTAAAGGACATGCATCCATCCATCAATGCGTACATACATACATACATACATACATACATACATACATACATACATACAGACATACATACAGACGCCCACACACACATTTTCCACATCTGACATTCCTCAGCCCATATCATGCGTGACAACGTGCGACATAGGGCATGCGTGAAAAATGCGTCACATACATTGCACACCTTGTACCATGCATGACATGTATTTCGCCAAACTCAGAAGTTATTTACAGATACAGGTGCAGAGTGAATAGCTTTTGTAGCAGGGTGAACATGCCCAGAACGACATGATGTTCATGTCATAGGTTGCATGTGTAAAAAGAGCAAACAAGGCATCCTAACAGAGGATGTTGCACGCAACACAGCAAAGCCCTCGATACCACACCAAAACGATGTACACCAATCATCGAAACTCACCACAAGCTCCAGCACATGACGGTGCTCTGAACTGAACAAGACAAAAGCAGTCCAACACGGCAAACCACAGTGTAAAGGCTGCGAGGCGAACGGATGTCGAATACAAGAGCCGCTGCGAGCGCGCGCGTGCCACACATGTTGCTGCAGGGCTAAGACGGGGACAAATCATTCACCGTCACTAGCTTCGAGATGTCTCCAATGTCTGGACATGGCGATATCGTGTTTAGACATACAAGTGATAAGCTGGCAGAGAAAACGCAAGGATTGCGGAGGCGGGGGCGGGGCCGTGCAGGCTTCCAGGAACACAATGCAGCAGAACCACCATAGATGGGGCTCCACAAGGCAAGCGAAGGAGAATCGCAGCAGTGGGCAGTACAGCCATGCAGCGTTACAAGACGAAGCGCGTGGCTGTGGAGCATCTGGACGCAGCCGCAGGGCATGAACGAAAGCGAGGTACACACACACACACTCACACACACACACACTTACACTCACACACACACACACACTCACACACACACACACTTACACACACACACACACTTACACACACACTTACACACACACACACACTTACACACACTTACACACA